GAATTTAATTTACTGGTACTTTAAAACCAAAAAAATTTTATATTTTGAAAAACATCATACTTTGTAGCAGTCTCCGGCCTACATTATTTTCCAGTTAAAGTGATTTTAATTAATTTTATTCTGTCTCCGATTGTGGATTTATGTAGCTTCACATTGCTTACTTATATCGCACAGGCGGTTCTACATCGCCTACGCATTATAAAGGAGGAACTGCAGGTCTTCAAAGAAAACGATCTTAGCAGACTTTCAGATCTGGCGACTCTTATGACGAGGGCGGGCACTCAGCATAATGTGAGTTGATCGTTCAGGCCCGAGCCTAACATACATGTGTTCGGGTGTCTAAAGCAAATTAATTAATATTTTATACAATATTTAAAGGGACTTTAAAATAGAAATCTTTTATTGAGTGATATACTTAAAAATGACGGTTTGATCGTAACAGACATTTATCCTAATTAATTTGCGAAGTGACCAAAATAAAAAATCTGTCAAAGGAAGGAATGCTAGCGATTGACAAAAATTTTTTTTTCGTTCAAAAGTAGATTTTTGAGACTACTAGCAAATTATGTATATGAGATGTATTTACGATATTTTATTTATGGTGATGATTCAAGTTCACCCTATATGAGAATGCCTTTTGGGAAGCAAGGCTATGCGAAGTTTAATGAAAACCTAAAGCCCACTCATCTTATTGCGTGCGACAATTTAACAACCATTCTTTCATCACCTTAAACGAAATAAAGTGAATATGTCTCCTATACTTGAAATTTTGACAGATCTTTTTAAGCTGGCAGCGATATTGTTTGCTTTGGTAGCGCAAAGGCCCTGATCACAAGAGTCTTTGACAGAGTGAAATTAAATATGATAGCTAAACTGAATGAAAGCTTATTAATATGAACTTCAGTTTAATTAATAAAGTGCAAGTCCTTTACTACCCTCAAGAAGATAATTTAAACAAATTTATTGGTGTTTCCTAAGTAATGCCTTTAGGCGAGTCTCAGATTGGTTTATACTCAAAAATACGCCATTGATAGGAATTTTACATAATTTAATTTTCAGGATTACGACTTATGAGTTTAATGCCTCATTTTTATTTCCTTCGGGATGCGCAGTATTGGCCATCGCTGGTACTGCTAATTTGCCGCCTCCATTAGCTATGGTATCGAAATCGATTAGTTTTCAAAGCAATTATCATACTACAACACATCATCAGATGTGCTGCAAAGCACTTGAGCAACGGCAACCGGGAAATAAAAATGCCAATTGTCACATGAAAATCTAGTTTTATAAATTAAAGTCAAAAGCAAGGATGTTGCTTTGCTTACTACAAAACAGCCAAACAATAATAGTAGTAATATTAAGTTAAAAATTTGATTGCACTAGCCTTTTGCCCAATTTTATTTCATTAAATTAAAAACATTCCTGCTTATTCTTCTTATTTATATAGCTCAACGATTCGTATTTGAAAAAAAGTTGGCTTTCAAGTGATCCTTTGATTTAAAAGAGCTGACCTTAATTCGAGTTCGTGTTAAATTATATTATGAAGAGATTCCAAAGTCGATCCAACCAAAATTTTACGGCGTATGCCTCTTGGCCAGATATTGTTTGGACTTACCGGAATATTCTGGCTGACTGTCCCCGGGCAATCTCTTTTTATTCATGTGGAAACATTCTGAGCCTTCGCCTCGTTTGCGCAGGTTATCATTAATACATTTGACCAGGGCTAAAGGCATAATAAAGCTAATTAGCTTGCTATATATATATATATATATTGAGCTTCCCTATGCTTGAACGACATGCCAAATCTCTTTAAGTATGTAGGTGTATTGATGTAGCTTTCAATCTATCCACCGTTTTGTATTTTATTAAACCTACAAATATATTTAGCTACATTTGTATGCGCATAAATAAACATATTTATCTCTGTAATTTTCGTTATCTACCATGCAGCCTTTTTCGTAAACCCTTTTCCTTAGATACGTCCGGAGTCACTACACAAGGGTATTCTTTTCTCTCGCATACCTAGTTTGAGTGACTCTTCCCTTGGTGGCTTTCCGGCGGAGGAAGATGATGGTGTGAACAACCACTCGGACTATGAAAATGAATATGACAAAGCTGAGCTTAAAAAAGCTCTTCCAATCATTTCGGTCTCTCCTACATCTAGCAGCAATGAGGACGAGACTACCGCAGTCGGTCGTACCTCCAAAAACTCAAGTACTTCCCAAAGAGAATGTGAGATGTCTGATGAAGCTAATGTTTTTCAGAGAGATCTTGAAGCAACTGGGACAAATAAATCCATCTTAAAGAAACCTGGTTGGCGCAACGAACGCCAGCGGCGCCAGGCCTCTCCCAGCAGTTTTAGCACTGCTCCTGCGTTGTCCACAGTAGAGCGAAGAAGTCGTTCAGCTGGAGGTAGACGTGTTGGCGTCCTAAGAGGCGAGAGTAGTGGAGAGAGTGATATTGACGATATCGACGACACAGCAGAGACAGACAGGACAACTGGCTGGAAACCTTCTAACTCGCGTCAGGCCAGTAGATTAATTTTGGATGAGGATAGACCACGTGTCGTGTTTGCCTGTGAAGATGCCGAGAAAATAGCAGAAGATGGAGTGCCTTATGGAGCAGAACAAGCCGTCTCGTTATACCAATATACTCAGCGTGACCGTCGGGGACGTGATATTTCGGTCGATAAGGGTGAAGTAAGTTGAATATATAAATTGTAGTTTAAATTACAGACTCATTTAACTTTCTTGGTCTTAATAAGGTGTCCGAATAGAAGGAGTATAGAAAAGAAGTAAATAATATAAAAAGATATACGCGAGTGGAACAATGGCCCTTGATAATCCCTCGTGTTTAAAATTCTCTCGAAAAAAAATAATCAGGAAAATGAATAAAATTGGTGGTCAAAACCTAAACATGATCTACTCCTCTCAATAACAAGTATCTCCTTGCTTTGATGTAGAGTCGTTTGTGATTATTCCT